AGTGTCGCGGATGTGTTACTTTAAATGTTAAAAAAATCATCCATGCATACGCATTGCCTTAAATCGACACTCCTCATCCAAATCAAATAGGTCAAGTCTTTTCAACCTGTTTAGGTTCCAGTAAGGTTGTGTTTAATCTCGTGAAATGTCGTGTAATACGAATTGATGTCCAATTACCGAGTTCCTTTCGGTTACGTGACAGCAGTAAGAATCCTCGTGAAATAATCTAAATCTGGAGCGTGTTCGTCAGTTTTCTCGAGTTTATCAGGGACTAGATTGAAATTGTTACTTGTAATCTACAGATATTTTTCAACGCTGGTAGTGGATTTGCCGACAAAAATTATCTTAAGTGATTTTCAATCTAGCTGAGGCTTCACGATCGGTAAATCAATTATTGAGCGACGCCTGAACATATAATCCAGTCGTAACTCGAGTACATAGATACTGATTTAGTTATTTTATTTCGGTGACATTTTCTTCCAGTGCCGGGTTTGATCTGGTGTTTACCAAGAAATTTTCTCTGGATTTTTAGCCTAGTTTCCACATTACTAGTTCTTCAATGGGACGAAAAACATAGATCCGAAATACATGTTGGTTTGCACGTAAAATAAACATAAACAGTTGGGATTCGACTTTTGCATGGTAATCGGGTTAAAATTGTGACCTCTAGAGTGTTCACAAGCTAAAAACGTGATTTTTCGTACAATCTGGGGCCATAATCCATAAGGTTATGCACCGATACATGCCAATATCGAAAGGAACCGAAATCTCTAGGAGATAGACCTATATTTCCTATATTTCAAGTTGACTTTTTGTATATAATGTAAGAAGAAATGAAATGAAATGCTGATATAGATAGTAGTTTATATCGTATTGCTAATGATGATATAGATGATATTTTATATAGCATTGATGATATTTTGTATAGACTTGATAATGGTGATATAGATGGAAGTTTATATAGCATCGCTAATGGTGATATAAGATGAATTGAAATGGGGAATTTAACCCCCCACTGTTCTGCTCCGACTGGGCTAATGAAGACGGATATACGCCATACAGCGTGCTATGGGGGACATTTGGCTCGTACAGCAACGCTATGGCATACTCTTGCATCGAATTCCAACTGCCAAGGTATCCTTTAGGTGCTCGCCAATGAGTACACGGGACCTCGGGTTTTCGTACCACCCGAACGACTGAACAGCTGTCCTTGTCAGGTCCTCCGTCATACACCACTGACAAGGGGGAGCCACGCCGGAAAATCCTGATGAACTTTCTCGGCCAACACCGGGAGCGAACCCGCGACCTCCAGGCTAGCGAGCCAGCGTCTTATCCACCGTGGCTCCCTAATAGTAATATAGATAGAAATAACTGACACAGTTTTATGGGACAACAATCACTAGTTTATTATACACAGGCACGACATCCCTTCACGTAGGTATGTCCGACTAGCTATAGCCCTCTGGATGATCACTTATGGATCCCATCCGTCTCAGAGTAGAACAGTCTTCATGTACCTCTTGGGTCGAATTATAACATCTTGGAAACCAATCTCACACCCTAGGACAGAGTAGGTTCGGAACATTTTTGTTTTTGTTTTTACCCATTTTCTTATTTTTATGTATATCTTTTGCCGGCATATGAAAATAACTTAATTAAATCAACCTGTTCATAATATATATTTAATGTATTGAGCGTTAAATTTGTAATAAACAACAACAATAACTTTACTAAATGCCATTGTGCTTGATAACGATAAGATTATACTTATGGAAACGTTGTGCGTGTTTATAATAAACCAGTGATTGTTGCCGCATATAACTGTACCAGTTTTTGTTATATTTCCAATTACTAAATGCCACTTAAGGATTAGGTGATATAGATGGTAGTTATGTAGCATTGGTAATAGTAATATAGATGAATATATCATTGGTAATGATGATATAGATGATAGTTTGTATAACATTGATATAAATGACAGTTAATAATGGTAGTCTATTTAGTAATAGCTAATATTGATTGTGGTATCTTTAAACTCAATATCGATAGCTGTTTATAGTGATGACAATAATAGATTATAAACGTTAAAATAATATAAAATCTACGAGGGAATGTTTCATACAGTTTTAGTAAAGAATTGTATAAATTTATTCATTAGTATCTTGGGAATAATAACCCATACCGATTTTTAGCGCAAAATCAAACCCGTAAAAGTTGTTTTAATGCATCGTGGACAATGTATGGCTAACTTATTGCCGTATCATTTATATTCTTTTCTCACGATTACATATAAATGTCATTCATTTAAAAAGAATATTTTTTTCGGATTTTTGAGCATCACTGAAATACGCCAGGGCTTATGAGATTCTTCATCCAATTTGCTCGATTTGATGTTATTTATGTTCGACAGTAATGAGCCAATTGCGTGTTAGAGGATGCTCTATAGAATCTGTACGAACGCGTTCGACAAGTTTCTATATTTACGATCAGATTAACGGATATTCCCAAGATTGGGTAAGCATTAGACCGTCCCCTACTCGTTGTATCCATAACATAACCATCGATCTCTTCATAAGATGTATAGCTTACTCATGATTTATCTCACTTTCCAGAACTGTTTTCAAATTTACAGGTTCAGCTATTTCATTATCTTAATAAGTGCTGGACGCTAACAACATATATTTTTGGTATGCAATGTGGTGTAAACTGTATGTATATTACCTTAGTAAGGTTGCTTTTTTTAAAGACGAAAAGCCAGGGCATCAATGTTAACGCTTTCTCGTCCATATTTCGAGCTAGCTACATGTATATACACGCACATGCAATATATGTCCAGAGCCATATTGTTTATGTTTAAAGGTTAGGATATTTAAAAGAAAAGACGCGCCTTTCACAAAAAAGCCACAGATCGACCAGCACTGTTTAAACTCACCGAAATATGTACGGCTCGTAAATTAGTAGGTTAAATGTGTACATGTATATCTCAGCGACGGCTTTGAAATGACCTGTACATTTTCAAAACACAGAGAGAGTTAGAGAGAAATGGGGTTGAACTCCACTCGACACAAACTTGGTCATTTCGGGACTAGCACATAGTTGGGGGGAAACCGGAGGACCCTAAGAAAACCCACGTGGTTGGACAGTCGATCCTACTCCTTGCCACGTACAACCAGGGAATTGAAACCACGCCAGTTGACTCTATGGCAGACCTTATGATACAGCGCGCACTTGCTAACCATTCGGCCATCCAACCCCCCAATTTTATGTCAAATAGACATAAACTTGGTCATTTCGAGGCTAACACATGGTTCAATTTTATTTCAATAATTCGCTTCCGGAAACGGAAAATCCTCTGCAATGTACAAGGTGGGAATCGAATCTACGCCACTTGTTGCGTTAAACTAATGAATGATTGTACATCACATCACGTCTTGGAGAAATAATTTAATCACGACACTAGCATTTCAGAATGATGCTTTCGCGACCGCTTGAACGCAGAACAGGTCCGTTTTAAGGCTTTTATAACTCCCCCAGTTCCGTGGAAAACGCGCCATTCCATTAATTCAAGGTGCATGGGCACCAGAGCCAGAGGAAGAAATGGGGTTTAACTTTAACTCAACACAAACTAGATTTTTTCGGGACTAACACATGGTTCAATTTTATTTCAATAATTCGCTTGCGAGTAGGGGGGTTTAGCTGTGGGAGAAAACCGAAGGATCCGGAGAGCCATGTGGTTGGACAGACGACCCTACTCCTTGTCACGTACAATCGGGGAATCTCAAAACCATGCCAGTTGACTCAATGATACGTGCCCCCCCCCCTCCACACACACACCGGGTTCTACAAGAAAATGGTGCATGGCGTATTTGGTTGCCAGAGGTGGGCGTGCCTTCGTTTTACTGAAACGTTTTACTATAACGTTGTCCTGGCTTCCGGGAACTGTTGTTGATTTCCTTTGATAATATTCAGCCAACAATCATTCCAAATATCACATTTCAGCTACATTACGTCTCATCAACACTATCAGTCAGGTCAGTTGTGCGTTTCATTGCAACGAAATCCGGGCAAGTTCCCCTTCCCACGTATTGCACATGTACATTTTCTCAACATGACCAAGTACTGCGTTAACCAGACCTTAAATCCTACTCCATCTCGCTTCTACGCAATCAAAGAAGAGTGGTCTGTTGTTTTAAATATAAAGCTTCTGAATAACAAGTCTCTCCTTTACAAAGACAACCAATAGATTAAACCTAATTACAATTCTTTGAAAACTGATCAGATAACGATGATAAAGTGCCAAATATGTCTGGCAAGTAATGGATATTAACTTTAATATTTTTTTTATCCAGAAAGAAGTGACAGGTGGACAAGGAATAAAAGATGGGTTCGGTGGAAATAATAGTCTATACACCTAACTGGACATGAAAGGAACCGTATCATGGTGCACGACCGGTATCAGCCAGGTCAAACTCATCCATTAGTATCTGGCATATTGCCCTCGCACCCATTAAATTGGATTTTGAATTTGTGTACGAATTGTGCAATTTAACGGAATTATGCACATTATAGGCCGTCATATATACGTGAAAGGTATATTTCTAATGAAATTTAAATGTAAATTGTCAGGCGGCCCACATGGAAATGTTTCGTCCTGGAATAAAGGTAAACTGTCCAAATATTTCTATACAGTCGGAATACGTTCCCACTGTCAAATGGTCTTTATGTGGGACTACATGGGACTTCATCTTAACGTCCCATACGAAAGACTAGACGATGTTCCTTGCCCGATCCTCCGCTCTGTACCACTGACAAGAGTAAAGCCAGACTATGACCTTTCTCGTTATTCAGCGCTGTACCAACTCTTTTGATCCAGTGAGAATGTCGATTTCCGATTTTGGAGCAAATCATGAAAAAGTACCTGTGATGTCGTAAAACGTCACGATAATGTGATTCTTACGTAATAAATAAAAATGGATTACACTGCATACTTAAACGGCCGTCCATTTTAACGATCGAGAGCAAGGAAATAAATCACAGTAGCTGAACGGAAAGAAAACTGTCAGTCAATTTGTGTGGTTGTTATAAATTAAAGCTATTGGTATTGGCAACTTTCCTATTCGATCCTCGTATTACCAGGCCGTCATTTCTTTACAACAGTCCAGGATACGCTCTGGTGTTCACACTGCAAGGATGTAGATGGCGTAAAGAGATTTGTAGTATTAAAGGATATTTTTTAAATTAGAAAAGTAAACCTAAAGATATGCCTAAAGGTAAGTTAAATATTAGAATTTGTTTAAATGCCTTAATTATTATAAACACCAATGTGACGCGGGGTTTTGTTTTTTTTCAAGTTCTTTTGATCGATCAAGTTTTGTAGATAACATAGCTGCTTTCGACAGTACAAAACTTTTATGTAAAAATGATGACTGTGAATTAGCCGATTAGGCTAATGAAAACGGTTATTAGGAACGCTATGGCCTATTCTTATTTCAAATCCCAACTGTTGAGAGATATTTTTATGTGTCCAAGATAACTCGGTAAATACCTAGACGTCATTCTTTGCCAGACCATCCGTCCTGAACCATTGACAAGGGCAAACCCGCCGTAAAATGCCAAGGAACTTTCTCGGCCAACACCGGGAGCGACCCGAAGATATCCTTGATAGTCTATTACTTACAAAATGTAGAATAATTTAAAGATTTATAATTTGCTTTGTACATGTTCAAGGTTGTGCTATCAATTAACTTATATTTGAGCTTAAAATAGTGAAACCTTTATTAAAGGTGCATTATGTAAGATTTAGATAAAGAACTGGTCGTTCTTGCTATAATAGTTCCAAAATAGATAATTAAAAATTGATTAATTGAAAATTTCATTCTTAATTACTTTATTCTGAGCGACGTTATCACTGTTTGAAGTGTTGACTTAGATTTTTTATTATCGCAGCAACGCTACTTATTGAGACTCGGCCTTTTGTAAATTAAATGGCGATACTATTTTAATCTGTTCACATCTACGTCATCCGATGGTCTAGGGGGTTGATTATAGGCTTGCCATGTGCATAAATGTCGAATTATTAATCTATATATCATTTGAAGCGAAAATAAAACCCTGTAATAGGCAGATTTAGCTCTTGTATAATTAATTGGGACAAAATAAAGTATTGAATGAATGAATGAAATAGAGTTCAACTTCCTTCCTTTCCGCAACAAACAGGCTAATGAAGACGGGTAAAGTAATGGATTGTGTTGATCTGGTGTGTTATTTCCATTAGTTGTGGGACACGCTCTATATCATAAGATTTTCTTTCCATAGGCCCTACATAAAGAATAAGCTGGGAAAATCGTTATTTACTAATGTTTACTAATGTTAGTTTAAACTTTGTCGGTTGTATCGTAACACTGAAACATCTAATTTTAGATGTTGATTTGTGTGATGACAGTCTGTTGTCACTGAAAATGTTACATTTATAGATGTTATAAAAAAATAACCTGTGCTGAGATAGTCTGTTGTCACTGAAAATGTTACATTTATAGATGTTATAAAAAATAACCTGTGTTGAAATATTACCAATTTTGTTTTACTGTCGATACAGTAAGCCTAAAATGAAACATACATTAGTAAACAATCCATGTTCCCTTTTAAAATGTAATCATATACCCAGCTCGCTTTCCCAGTAATAAAAAAATACGCCAGATTAACCTAATACCTGTAAGTTGTATTTTCAATCTGTGACCTTCGGTCTGAATTTTGTATTTTTTATTGAATGACAGTCGCTGTAACAGCAGCATACTCCCTGTCATAGTAAAACATCTCTAAAATCAATACCTAGTAATGGCGAATGGAATCCAAATGAGATATGAATACCCAGTAAATTGCAGGATTGTATTAGTATATAATTCAGATCCAGTTCGTTTTTGTTCCATTTATAATTAATATCGAGGCTGTTATAACTTATTTCTCACTTGGATGTAGACATGATTTGCTTAGTTCAAGACAGATAGTTACAATTTCCGACACCGTAGTAGGTAAATTAGCCATTTGACAAAGCATATAAAAACGATGATTTTTTTACTACAGTATATTATAGAGATATATGCTAATTAAGCTGGAACTGTCTTTTCTCGGTCAAATCTATTTGTTAAGGCCAGCTCAATTTTTGTCACGGTCGTTGAGATGTAAATAAGGTTAGGACACGTGATTGTAGGTTAGGTTTAGAGTAAGCATGGGGGCTAGGTCCAGGGTTAGGGTTGGGAATAGCGCTAGCCCTGTTTACATCTCGTGACTAATGAAAAATTGAGCTGGCCTTATCATTTAGCACTAACCATCTTTTCCCACACAAATAGTTTTTAGTATAAACAAGCACCACCGTGTACTATGGACCAGGAACTGAGTATGACGTCATCGCAACCATCTTGGAATTGTAGGGTGATATATAAAAATCGAAGTCCGTCAATCAAACAAAAGAGAGAGAGAAATGGGGTTTAACGTCCACTCGACACAAACTAGGTCATTTCGGGACTAACATATGGTTTTTAAAATTTTATTTCAATAATTCGCTTGCGCGTAGGGGTCTTTAACAGTGGGAGGAAACCGGAGGACCCGGAGAAAACCCACGAGGTTGGACAGGCGACCCTACTCCTTGTCACGTACAACCGGGGGGTCAATCAAACAAGAATGCCACATTTCATGTCTATTGTACATGAATTAGTGCAACATTTGGGACATATCTGTTTGATATAGGTGCGTTCAAAATACTTGCATGGATATCGAAATGAGTTTTATTTTCTTAATAATGCTTCTGTGATATAAAATGTATCAGGCACCAGAACTGCTCTAATGAGAAGTGTCATTGGGCGTTCTAAAAAGTAAACAATATCTTAGTAATAAATATTTGCTGTAAAATTGGACTCTTAAAGTGTTAATGTTAATCCGTGACAACAAATTATTAACACAGAACCCGCACATCAACGTAGAATTCATTTACGACGTACCATTACCGAATGATAATTAAACGACTTTCTGTATAATCGAATTCAACACTTTCTCCAGCATACTGCACGCAGCGATCCATCTACGTCATACTTCGAGAATAGATCACTGCACTAAATGCCGTCCATTTAAAACGCTCAAGTGATCATTTTGGGGCGGGACTTATCCACTGGACTACTGCTTTGTATACACAACAGAGTAAAAATAAGGCTCTAATTAGTTCGACACCTTTCATTCACACAACGGCTAAATAAACATTTTTAATTTCATTTAATATGACAACAGAAGAGAAAAAAATACCTCTAAAAATTTCTAAAAGCATACTCAGTGTTTTCGACTAAAATCGTCGATGTAGGAATTAAAATGTCGGTTAATTAGCTTAAGACCTGTTCACAGGCGGAGCTAGCTGTAGACAGGCAGACTAAGTTTGGGATGTGTCTCCAGCAGTAGTTTTAATTATTTAAAATGTTATGGTCAGCAGTATTTTGCTATAACCATTTCTCGCCTTAAAATGTATACTTTCTGACAGATTTGGTTAATATTCTTAATCTGGGTGCGGAAGGGTCAGGGTTTAACGTCCTACTGTTTTGCTCCGACTTGGCTAATGAAGACGGGCATACGCCATAGAGTATGCTGTGAGGGAAATTTTGCCCGGGCAGCGACACTGCGGCCTACTCTTATATCGAATTCCAACTGTCAAGGGATATTTTACGTGTGCGCCAATGTGTACACGTTACCTCGGTTTTTCGTCCAATCAGAAAAACTAGACAGCTGTCGTTGTCAGGCCTTCCGTCCTGCATCACTGACAAGGGGGAACCACGCCGGAAAATCTAAATGAACTTTCTCGGCCAATGCAGGGATCGAACACCTGACCTCCAGGCTAGTGAGCCAGCGTCTTGCCCACTTAGCCACCGTGATCCCCTGGAAGGGTCAGGTAGTAAACAGACGCGCAATAGGGAAAACATTCGCGAAAACGGCACCAATATGCACATAAATTATTTTTAGATAGTTAACCCTTCAATATTTTGCTCAGATGATTGTGATATATAAGGCTCTTTGTAGTTACACAGTCTACGATCATGTTTTAGGCATAAATTGTAGTAAATGAAATAAAATGGGGTTTAACGTCCTACTGTTTTGCTCAGAACTGGGCTTCTGAAGTCCCGCATACGCCATACAGTGTGCTATGAGGGAAATTTTGCCCGGACAGCGGCACTATGGCCTACTCTTATATCGAATTCCAACTGTCAAGGGATCTTTTACGTGCACGCCAATGAGCACACGAGACCTCGGTTTTCCGTCCCATCCGAACGACTAGACAGCTGTCCTTGTCGGGCCCTCCGTCCTACATCACAGACAAGAGAGAACCACGCCGGAAAATCTGGATGAACTTTCTCGGCCAATGTAGGCATCCGAACACCCGACCTCCCGGCTAGCGAGCCAGCGTTTTAACCACTTAGCCACCATGATCCCCCAAATTGTAGTAAATTTAACAGACTAAGCTTGTTTCCCAATCCCATTAAGATGTCCTGAACAAAAATATTTTACGATATGTCATGATTTAATAAAAACAACTCCAGTAGAAATGAATTGTCTTATGCAACGTCATGCAAAAATCGATTAACAAAACTAAACCCGGCGTTGTCTTATATTGTTTACGTTTGTAAATACATAGTATTTGAATTGTGGAAGAAACCATAGAATCCGTTTTCGGATGTCATACTAAAATATAAAACCATAATACATACATTACCTGAAAATAGAAACACCTTGTAAGACTCTAAGGTTATGGTTAGTAGACAAGTTTTGGATTTCTATGTCATCAGGTTGTCAAGTCAGAACTTTGTAACAATTGCATTAGCTAAATCTGAATTAGCTACACATATTCGGTTAAAATGTTCATTGTCACGTATATGAAATAAAATTACAGATCAACAAGATCAGACACAACTCAATTTCTACTTTTTACACCAGTGTGGTCCAGTTAAAGTTGGTGCTATGTATCTCATGGAAAATGAATGTCTTACAATTCTTTTGATAGTTGTAGAAAGAGCAAGCACATCCGTAGCTAAACTGAACGACGGGGCTTTCATTTCGATAATCCTGTCGCGTAAACCTTTACAGAACTTAACGAAAAGTTGAATCAGCTATTGAATCGTTATTTTATTCCCAATAATTTAGCAATTTTCGTAGCAAGAATTTAAAAAGGAAACTAATATGGATATACGGAAGTCATTTGTATTACATTAATCATGTGTTCCATTATATTTCTAACTAT